ATGGAGTTTTAAGGGTCAAAATACAGTTAACCTTAGATAGGTGCTCTTAAAGTCCATAGAAAATTTATGACTCCAAATCCCGTTATTAAACATAAACTCAAAACTATTTTGACGTTGCATAACATTAGACAGAAACCAAACAAACATATTTTGAAGACAGCCTAAGTCGTGACTCACGTTCCGTATTATCATAAGGAAGCCATAAGCGCGAATGACCAAGCAAAGGTCGCGTTCCACCAAATCAACGTGCAAGAGAAGAATCTTAGATTTCGGAACGCAATCGAAATTCTCCTCGGGGCCGCAGAGCATTTGTCTCGTGCGGAACTGTTCAGAATGTAAATTACGCTGCGGTGTTAAGACCTCAAACGATGTTTAAATTTATCTACGCATTGATCAATGCAGCACTAGAATAAAAAAAATCGGATTCTAATTCAGACAGTTTCAAATATCATACTAAATATGCTTGCATTCCTTCTTTATGGTAATTCCTATAAGCTTTCGCCGGAGGCCGGCGAGGCGATCCCGTAATGGAAAATCTCCGATCGCGGATCTATTTTAAGCCTGGCTAGATCTGTACAATTACCGGACCGTTTCAAATGGCTCTCGATATGCAAGCAAAAAAGTGTATTTTTCGCCAGGAGCTACATAGACGACCGGCACTCTCCTAACGGTGCGTAACGGTTGGGAATCCCCGGTTGTAAGGTGCTCGTTTCCTCGGCAACTGGCACGGGATAAAATCCAGGAAGCCGAGGTGGATTCAACTCGTGCGCGAACCGCTTATAATGTCGAACATCATTACAGGCTCGTTTTCCCGCGGGCTTTTCTATTCCTGGCGCCGTCCGACAGTATCCCCGGGTTTTAAGTAGTCGCGATTTTTTGTTCCCGTGGCAAGTAACGCGAGTACGGACGAAGGGATACCTACGTGTCTAACTAATGTTAAGTGAGGTGTGCCGAGATAATTTTACGTGGAAACGGCACGGTACAATTTTTCAACTGATTGCTGTGATTTGTCTTCCGGACAAATTGGAGCGGAGAGCTTTCCTTTGAAAAATCGAAACCATTGATAAAAATGTATGTGGTTTTAGAGCGAGAAACGAATTATACTTTGAGAGGGGGAAAAAACGGCGTGAACATCCTTTAGCACTTTTTGCGAGTGAATAACTAACAGCGTTGGCTCGAGGCGCCGGATGAATAATCGAGTTTCTGGCTCCCGTTGCGAACAGGACGAGCGTGAAGTGTTGCCAATACACATTCATTCGCGCATTTTTTTCTCCCGCCACGGCGAGGTACGCGTCGTTCCAGGGAATAACCGAAGCTCGTGTGGACGAGGAAATATTTATGAAGATTCGCGATGCCTCCGGCCGATCGCATGCGATCTCAATCGGTAGCTTCGCCGCGAGGAACGTCCGCTCATCTGTTAACAAGACCGGGCGATTCCGCTCGCGCATTAAGAAAAGACAAATAATTAATGCGCTCAATAAATTCGACCAATCGCAATGAAATTCTTTGAATGAAACGAAATCGTAGAAATGATTATGCGCATTGATCGAATCTCCTTCGACGGGTCCTGACCAAAATTACAACCACGTCGAGATAAATCACTTGCAACGACGCTATGATTGCATACGACCTCGAGATTTTCAAAGGCTACGCCATCGGACGGAGGACAAATTTTAATAGGACGACAGGTCTAATTTATGCAAAGTGCCTGAGAAATATACGTATTTGCACAAACGATTTTTGTCTAAATATTTATTCACCTTTTGTAGCAAGAGTTTACGAGTATGTTTTTAAATCAATTTTCCTTACTAGAACATGCTATTGACTCATCTCAGCTACTTAATTTCCATTATCACCAAATTCATTTCAGTACATTCGAATAATTTATCCTGAACCTAACTCAAACATGGTAATAAAGTGCATATCCAGATGCAACATTACGAGAACGAATCACCCCTGTCACTAAACTTAGTCGTTCCAAAACATCGCAACAAATCCAGACAGATTAAAGTAGGTACACTGTCATTCAAAAGTATATGGGCACTCTCTGGACTGAAAATCATTAACTTTTTCAGTTTTATGTATTTTATCTCACATAATCTTAGAAAATATATTCGCCCCACATTTCGTTAATCATCTTGTCAATGTAATTACACATTCTCATATTCTAATTACCGCTTTTACTCGTCTTGGCACTCTGGCTATTTTTTCATTCTTTCAATTCAATTTCCAGAAATTTATAGAAGTCTTTTTCTTTAAGTTTAATTTTAAACAGACCAAAAGGAGGTCACACTATACCGAAATAAATTATCGTTAAATTAATTTCTACGACCAATTCTATTACATTTTTATATATTCTGACAATAATCGTTAACAATTTCGCTCGCCCACAAAAAATGGATGACCAGATGCTTTTAGCCTGGAGTGTACATTTGCATGGTGCAAATTATTCACAAACCCTTTTCCAAAAATCGCCGTTCATCCATCAGTCGCGCCACGCGCATTCGCGCAAAAATCCTACGGGCATCAAGCGCGTCTGGTATCGACGACCTCCCATCAGACGACGACCTTCGCCCTGAAGAGAACCGGTCCCAGAGGCGTCGGGACGCGTCGCGTTGACCCGTTGGTAACATTGTCCGCGGGCATCGCGAAACGGATCGATTCGCGACGGAAAATCGCGTGTCCCACCGCGGCCTCGTTCGTATTTTGCACGCATCCCGCGTGCGTTTACATAATGCGTTTGCCGACACGTCCGTCGCGTCGGAGGCGCGAGATAGCAGGAAACAGGTTCGATGAGTCACGACCGGATCGAACGTTACGAAAACGATTCACGTTGACGCTGATCCGACGTCGATTGCTGCTACTTTGCCTGGCGAAAACTGAATATCCTAATGGGGAAACTTTATCCATGAAGGGGCTGGGCAGAGGACCGTTGATTTATTTTACTAGTATTTTAATAGTATAAACGTGATGTAATTACAGCAGGGAATTTAAATTATTAAAATTAATTTTTAGTTAAAAAAATTGAGGAGATTGAGTAATTACGTGAGAGTTCTCTTGATTATGCATCTTCGTCAGGTGCCTGCATATAATTAAACGATATGAGTCTCTGAAGAGAATTGTTTAAAATCAGGAGACGGATGAGAGTTAAACACTTTTAGGATGCGTTCATAAACTTGACGCCGAGTCGAGTAAATTGGAATTAGTTAAGGTTTGTTACACATTCTGCGAGCACTTCCATCACAGGACCGTGTTGCACGAAAGTCGAGCCTTTCGGACTCTGTTGGGTATGTCGGACACGTGCGAGACGATTCGTTTGCACTCATTGAGAGAGGCACAGTGAATGAGGGAAAGATATGTACGTACACACGTACCTATGTCGTCGGGCTTGAAATTTCGCGGCTTCAACTAACGAACCGCGCCGGCCTGTTAAGTGTCAAGAGGTTGAATCAACGATAATTCCTCGTACAAAGATAATTCAATAAGAACAATTACTTTACGCAACGAACAGAACAATCCCAGTTATTATGACCGTGATATGGAGTACAAAGAATTCTATATTTAAATGTAAGAAGATGTCTATTCTAACATTTGAAGTTCAAGTTCCAAGAAAATATTAACGTCTATTCAAAAGGCACGTTCAATCTATATTCATACGTTATTCATTTTATCGTAACGAGCAATCTGAACAAATATTCTCATAATTATATATTTTACAAATATATTCTTCAGATAGGATAATTATTGATATCCTAATACGAGCTATACAAATTGAATTTATCTTTAGTAGAGAAAAATGTTACGACAAAATCCCATCACAGAAAGTAATCAACGATGATGCTCTGAGTTCCTAGAAAATGACCAACCTTTCGCGTTACATAGAAATTGATGCACGAATGAACAAATAAAATAAAACCAGTTCTAACATTTCTGGAGTCTCTCAACGCGGTCAAACGTCAAGGTCCTTTTCACATTTATCAAACTAGCACAGAGCTACACTTCAGCTGAATACTGAATCATGCTGAACGAATTGCTATTAAATCATCATGTTTATAGAAAATGGAAAACGAAGCAGTCAACCGCACAGGTGCTTCGTGATACATCGATAGGAGGAATGAAATTATTTGTTTTCAAAGACAATGACATAGGAATCGTTCCCTAAACGAAATTACTAAAGCATGATATTTACGAAGCAGAGAAACGTATCCGACATCAACGACCCACCGAAGAAGGTACAATGAACGTTCACTCCGTGTCTCACAAAAGACGAGTTAACACATTTCGCCCACCCGTCAATTCCAACCACGTATGTAGAACCGATCTCAAACCTTCCTTCGCGGATTAAACAAGCACAAACGAAAACAGTGGACTTCTACCAGTCCCCATGCATCTCCACCCTGCGTCGAAAGTCAGCTTTCCTCAGACCTCCCATAATTCGCATCGAGTCAAAACGTGATCGAAGTTGAAGAGATCCGACACACGAATAGAATAGAATCCGAAAGGGATTCGTCGTCGCGATGGATGGACGAAATTGTCCTTCGTTGGACGCACGGGGTTCGATCTCGGGACATGTCACTAGGTGAGATCGCGAGCCACCTAACCGAATCGATACTTGAAAATCTCTCCCGAGAATCGCAGCCCCCGATTCGTTTTGCTCTTGCTGGTAGACGGCGTGGGTCGTTGTAGAGAGGAATCGTGGTCAACGCGGAGATCGTAGCCCGGTTGGAGAAACGAGGAGGGCCGTCGACAGAAGGGAATCGCGATTAACGAGACGAAAAGAGACAGCCGCGAATCGCAGGGAGGCCAGAGGGGTCAGGGAGAGGCGACGGGAGAGGTGCACCGTGTTGATGAAAAGAGGAACGACGGAAGAAGGTAAAGGATAAGAGAGTAAAAGAGGGGCCCCGGCACGAAGCAGGGGCGAAGAGGGTCGGGGCCCCCTATACGATCCCTGGCCACGGTGCCGCCGGGTGGGTAAATGGGTATATAAGCGGGGCCCCGACGATTCCATCTCGACACACGACCCAACCTTCATCCCGATATCACCCGCACGGTTCCATCGAGCGAACGAGCGTAATCGCACGCGCGCGTCTAAAAAGAGAGAGAAAAGGAGGGTTAAAAACTCTTCTGTCTTCATCTGTCTTTTGTTCAGAGCAGAGTTTTCAATAAACTCCGAGCACACGGTGATCGGCGAAAGTTCTCAATTTCGAAGAAAACCGGTCACAGTTCTTTAAATCGGTGAGAGTATATCACCCGCGGCGCACCGAACAAGGAGCACCTAGGAAGAACCTACCGGAGAAACACCGCGAGTCGACGACCAGCCGCCGCTGCGAACAGTTCCACGGAGAGAGAAAGACGTGAGTAAAATGATCTTTTGCTAGTTAAACGATTCATCGATCAGTCGCATTCGTTAGACAGCCTGCCAATATTTTTCCTCGTTTTCTCACCAATTTTATTATCGTACGAATCCACTTTCGGGGTTATCCAAACGTCATCGCGCGTGTATTTTTTTTTCTGACAGGGACAGACGTAGATGTTAAGCAATTTGCAAGATTCTTACAATTAAAAGATCTATGAAACTCGAATAAGTGTCAGTTAACTGCGATCGATCGCTTCACGCGAAATGGCTGTCTTCGAAAATGCGACAGTGATTAAAGCGAGGAAAACGTTAAATGAAATAATAGTCGGAACATACAATTTGCGTACTTGGATTTCTCAACGAACGAGCCGCGCGCGTTTGCGTAACTCTTTTCCTCATCTCGCAACCGTAACCCTTTTCCGTCCTCGCCGCCCCCGGAGACTTCCCCACGGCTAATTAGCCCACAGCTAATCAGCTTAATCAACGCGTTCGCGAGACTGCGACATGAGGCGCGAACAAGCCAACCGAGGATCCTTTAATTCCTCAGGAATCTTCACATCGTTTGGTTTCCTACCTCGCATGTTCGTGTCAAACGAATCGATTAGCTGCATGGAAGTTCCAAAGAATTTCGTATTCAAAGTTGATAACATCCTCCTTTACAGAGGCATCGAGAAAAGCGATATGTAGTCGTAGGTCACACGTAGTTTCATGTCTTATTCATATTAAGCATAATTGTTGTTTAATCAAAATTTTGATACTGTTCTAAAACATTAAAGAATAATCTATTTTATTCTTATTACAACTTGCGACTTGAGTTTTGAATAAATGATATTCTTCTGAAGATCTTTCGAAGAACAATTTGGAAACATTTCATAAAAATCGAGTTCCACGTATGTTAATTTCGATAACAACAGAATTGGAATGAATCACGATTGAAACGGAGGTAAAATAGCCGATGGAAGTCCTCTTTCAAAGTCGATTAGAGCAACAACCGGCATTCCTGCGCGTTCATGTTAACTGCGACGCATTCTTCGCCCAGTTGTGATTCAATGCGCGCAGATTAGATCGACAATCGCGAAATGGATAGAGCCGATAATAAATGCCGCGGCGAATAGAGTATAGTAATCGGTCAAAGAGAAAGAGAGAGAGAGAGAGAGAGAGAGAGAGAGAAGGGCGGACAGCACATTGAAGCGGTGAACCGCTTCAATGGGCCGCGTCTTCTTTTGTAATCGTGTGGTACCATTATTACATCTCTGATGATCTTGATAAGGTAATGGGTGTCCATCATCTTTCACAGGCATTTCCTCTCCGTCGACCTATCTCTCGTCGCGTCCGCGTCCATCGCGTAACTTGAATTTTCTCGCGATCTACGTCGCATCGATTCCCCTACTCCGTGTAGTTACGCATATGATTCTACCAAACGATGACCCCGCGGTGCTCGTAGACAACGCAATTAGTCAAAAACTGTCGTTGAAACGTACACGCGAACACCACCGCCGCGCGGAATCCGTTCGTGACTCGCAAAGTAATTTGCAATTAACTTTATTGCGGCCGATTACGTCCGCTTGCAACACGATCAGACCTGGACGATTGTTATTAATGTCGATTATGCGACTCGCTAATGTATACTTGTCCCTTAATTCGCTTCTCGTCTTCAACCGTTTCCTACCTCTCTGAGCGTTAACCTTTTTTCCTGCGTGTGGACGGAAACATAATTCCCATTGCTGCGAACGTACGGCACACGGAAATTATATAACAGTTTCACGATATACTCCGGTCAGTATTTTCTTTCGGTCGACTGAACGTTGCCCGAGTCGACTATAGAGAAAAAATTGTTACAGCCTCGTCCAGTGTTGTGCATATAATCGAATTGGAAATAGATTTCGCCGAGGCCTGAACGATTTCATCGGCTGTAACAAAGTTTTCATCGAACACGAGCGTAACAGCAAGGGAACTCGCAGTTCACCTCCTGCCGTGACCAATTGGCGAACGCGAGGCAGTTGTAAAAAAACTGGACCGTTCAGCCGCCTCTTTCCTCGCACGATCACGTAGTGTCGCCCAGTTTTTCCCTCCTTAATTCTCTCGTTTTCCCTCCCCGACGTTACGGCGTTCACCTTCTCAATGCGCATTCCACAGGTCGGTTGCGCGTTCTCCAGAAGGCGTGTCGGCTCAGATAACGCGAAGCCACTTTTTCCTCGACGAACGAAAACACGCTTCCCTCATCTCGTTTCGCGCGATCCTGTTAAGCATCACCCGGCACTTAGGCACGAATAAGGTGTTAAGAGCATTCTCGCATCGCGTTCATTCCCATTGTCCCAGCAGGGTCGATCTCTATAACGAACAGTTCGCGAACATCCGCGCGTTTCCCTATACCATGCAACAGGAACAGCTTCCTCTCGAGTATAAATTACTCGCTCGATTGACTGCGAACGGGAAGGTCGGCTGGCGTGAAAAAAAAAATCGAGAGAATGTCATCGCTGGCTCGCGTTCTATCTCGCTCGACAACCAGTTTAACGATCAATTTCGTCAGCGTTTCGCTCAATCGCTAAGTAACATGCCTTTGCAAGCAAATCGCGCGTCCACGCGACACCGCAACCATTGTCTCTGGTTTCATCGTGACCGCGTACCTGTCCATACGATACCGATATGCGCAGTTGAATCGATTTACACGACAAGCTTCATAATGATTGTCGATATTATGATCAGACTCGTACGGATTTGAAATACAACGTAGAAGCCACGACTACCGATTGGCGAATTTTTCGCAATAGGATGAAACGTTCCATTTTCGGACGGGTATCTCGATCATCGATTTCGAGGCTGACAATGTTCTCTCTCCTTCCGTTTCCACCTGTTGCGGAAGTACCACCCATGTTTCACTTTCCGTTCACGTTGCACGCAACGCTTTTTAATTAACGAGAAAATAATTCCCCCGCAGGTTTACGGCTCGATTTCGCGACCAAATTTCAATCGATTTAATAAACCGTCCTATTCGTTAACAATCTTTAAAGCGTTCATCTAACTATCAATTAAATCGAGGATCATTTCCTGACGATATTCAATAACTATTTCGAGCATCCGTTTTATTTATTTCGCAAATCGCGTTACGAATGAAACGAAGAAAGAGGCAATCGTGCGAAGTCGCGCGAACGCTCGCGCGTAACAAGCGCGCGAGGGGCACGCATCCTGTCATTAGTTCCATAACGCCTGCCTTGTTCAATGCATTCGGTTCAATGTCACCTCCGTCCCTCCTCCTTCCTGCCGTACTCTTCCAGCAGCAGCCCCTTTACCCATCCTACCCGATTCCCCTGCTGTCACGTTCTCCGTCCACAACGGCAGCCTCCAGTTTTCGTCGCCGCACGTCCGTCTATCGGCGTCCCATTCATGCGACGCGGGTCGCGTTCTCCATTCATGCCAAGTACGAAAGAGGAGCTCGTGTACTACTCACGTCCGCTCTCCTAACTAGAAGATTACGAGGAACGTCACTCGCTTCCTCTCTGTCTGCGTTGTGCTCGCCGGTATGAAACATGGAATCTGAGCCTCGTCTCATATATTATTATTGCTTTTTTCCTCGCAGTTCCTCACATCCTCTTATTATCGTTTCCTTCAATTATTTCATTTGTCACGTTCTTGAATAATTTCATCGCAAGTTTTGACCGGGTCATCATTATCACATTTACCAAGTTCAAGACTTTAAGATTACTATCGATTCTGTTTTTGTTGCAGATATCAAGATGATGAAGCTGATCGTACTGGCAGGCATGCTGTTCCTGGTGAGTGTAAAGACGGTAGTCACGATGCCCGTGGCCGAGAGTCAAGAACCGCTTCAAGTGGTGCCGCTCGAGAAGTTGTCAAACCAGGGTAAACTCGAGGTACCTGCAGCTTCAGCGCAGGACGCGGACGCCGCAAAACCGGCGCCAGCCGAGGCGAAATCGGCGGAAGCCGAGAAACCGAGCGTGAGGAGCGAATCTGCAGCTGACGTGTACCAACTGTCGGAGAAGCCTGAGGAGAAGAAGATCGAGGATGCTCCGCAAGCGAAACCTGAAGAGAAGAAAGAAGAGCCGACCGCGCAAGAGATCAAGCCTGAGCAGCAGCAGCAGCAGCCTCAGCCGCAACAGCAAGAGGCTCAACAACAACCTGGCCAGCAGGAACAGAAACAGGAGCAAGTTCCGGAGATAAAGCAGGAACAGGCTCAAGAAGCCAAGAAAGAGGAGGAAACCTTGAAACAGGCGGCTTCTGAATCTCACGAGGCAGTGCAGGCTGCTCCTCAAGGGCAAAAGCAGGAAGTTGCCAGTGAAGTTCCAGCAGAAGAGCCCGTAAGTGTTATTTCACCTATTTATAATTCGGTTTTTTCGTTATACGAGTTTAAATCTGACCTTGTTTAATCATTTCCAGAAAGCTGCAGTCGCTGAGGGCAAGAGCTCGGAACAGGTCGAATCCGCGGGGAAGAGTGTGACCGCACAACTGGCGAAGGAACAGAAAAAGGTGGAAGAAGCGAAGCCCAGCGTCAGGAATGAGGGCGAGTCCGGTTCCATAGCTTCCGCTGAGTCTTCGGAAGAGAAAACTGAGGGCCAATTGGCTGATATCAACAAACCTAAGGAGGAGGAGAAGAAAGGAGAGGAGAAGGTCCGCAGATCAGCCATTAATGATCCTAAGCCTCATGCCGAACAGGAGAAGCCCGACCGTGTCACTCGCGATGCCGAGGAAGCCGCTCAGGAAACTAAGAAGACTGAACAGCCAGCTGAGAAAAGCCCAGCCCCAGCTGAAAAGAGCCAGCTGGAAGAGCAAGCGAAGCCAGCAACGGAGGAGATCAAGCTAGGTCCGAAGAGCGAAAAGATTGAGCCAGCCGTCGAACAACCAGCCGTCAGCCCCGAGGAATCTTCTTCCAAGAGCGAGGAGAAGACCGAAGCCGTCGCGCAACCTGAAAAAGAAGCGAAGAGCGCCGAGGTCTCCACTTCCTCCTCTTCCAGCAGCGCACAGGAACAATCATCTGAGCAAGCGGCTAAGTCCGACGACGCCAGCCAAGCTAAACGCGAAACCGCGGAAGTACAGCCTCAGGCGAAGTCCGAACAGGCCGAAGAAAAGAAGGAAGAGCCACAGAAGCAGCAGGAGCCTGCGAAGGAAATGAAGGAACGCTCGGACGAGTCCTCTCTATCGTCCGAGGAGAAGTCGGACGAGAAGAAGGAGAGCAAGGGTAGCGAAGAGGAGAAATCCTCCGAAGAGAAGGAGTCAAAGCCCGCCGAGGAGAACAAACCTGAACTTCTGCCTAAGCCACAAGAATTGGGAGGGAACTCAGGGAACGCATAAGCTTCCGACGACGGTCGCAGCGAGAGGTGGGAAGGCGAATAATAAGTAACGGCGGCAAACTCCCGTAGAGCAGCAACATCCAGCGGACAGCGGATACTGGCTCGGTCAATGGTCGGGTTCCCAACTGCATTCTCATCGTCATCGACCGGATAAAAAATGAGGAAAATATTTAAAAGAAACAAAAAAAGAATCGCACACACATACATAAAAAACGAAAAAGAATGCGCGAATTCGTTCGGCCCTCGGATAGAGAAGCGGGAGAGCGTGTACGTCAAAAGAAGTATGAACGGGAAACGGGAGAGAGAGAACGAGACAGAGTGAGAGTGTATATCAGTGTGAATGGGAGAAAGAGAGATTGCGCGAGATCAATTATTCTGTGGCAGGGTCCAAAAACTTCCCCCGGCGCGCTACGATTCCGAAGGAAATTTTCATCGACTCGACTCGGGGCAGGATGATCACGTGTCGACCTGGCTGTGAGGAGATAAGACTTACCTCGGGACGGAAGATCTTGAAACGACGACAGCGAGAATCACGAGGAAAACGATGATAACGAGACGATCGATGTTACGTACGATCGAGTTCCTGAAGAAGAACACCTATTAACAGGAACACGTGGCCATCCTTTAGGATCGGACTTGGCACACTTGCCAGGTGATCATCCTCTCCTTCGTCCCGGCGGACACCGCGATCTGTCCGCGGGGACGAAACCGGCCCCTAACAATTAGTATCCTCATCCCAAATCCCTTAAGTCTATTTTTCTTTATATTTTTTGTCTCTCAAAAAGAAAACCACACGAACCACAACCACGACCTCATCCCAATAAAACTAGTGTGTAGCTCGACTCTGTCTTCTTTTTTTAGAGATACGTGTCATTATTATTATTAATATTATTATTATTACGATTTAGTACCAGTACCGCTATTATTATTAATATTATTATTTGTATTATTGCTATCATCGTTATAATAATAATTATTATTACTGTGAACAACTTTTACTACACTTCCTCCCTCATCTGAGCTAGAACTGTTGATCATTTTTAACATCCAAATCGCTTTTGTCTTGCATCATTAATATTCTTACAAACAGTCGTGACAAAAGTAAAAACTTGATGGAATGAATTTGTCTGTTTCGAATACTCGTAAAAGTAGAACCCATGTAAAATCGTTGTATATAATTTGCTTAGAAATTACCAAGGTTTCCATGTTATTACAAATAATTCACCGCAATCTTCTCGAATAAAACATCCGCTCGTACTCGTAGCACTAAAATCCTTGGATAATGTCGAAGTACTATTTCGAAGATAAAGAGAATCATTTAGGAAAATATGCGAATACCATGAGATTCGCGGTATAAGCAGAGAATAATCTTACGTAACAGGTAGGAATTCACATGACTGGTCGTGTCACGGGTCGCAAATAATTTCGTGACTGCACCAGGCACGAACGGCATTTCTCCGTGATGCGGTGCATCGATTCATCAAAAGGCCGTATGAAAAGTTATGGTGCTCTCGGGCACGCTTTGTAAACAGTGAGGATACGCGAGGTGAGTGGACCCGGTGAAAATGTCAAGGCGTCCGGGGATTTTGCAACATGCCGGAGAGATACATTCGTTGGCTTTCTTCATTTCGAGTCACCGGCTGCATGCTTTTACGCAAGAACCATCGACGAAAAGTGTCGAAGGTAGGGTGCGACAGAAAAGTAACTGTATCCTGGCGAGGAACGTTCACTTCCTCGCAATATGCAAGTACCTACAACGCTCGTAAGTGCACGTAACTTTTGGACCGAATACAAAAATACTGACTCGGTACGATATGCGTTTATATAATCGTAATTTAAATGAATGTCTGGCGCAAAGGGCATATGAATGTATTATAGTCCTCGCAAACCATAAATTATATGAGGCAAAATATAAAAAATATGTGCTATTCAAAAAAGAAGGTAGGACGAATGGTAGGAATAATAAACATAGTTTGAAAGACTTCGGAAAGTTGTAAAATATACACGCATGACGAAATAGTCGAAATAATAAAAACCAATACAAAATAGGTAAGGAAGACACGATCATTACACGCCTCCGTGGCGCAATGGGCTAGCGCGTTCGGCTGTTAACCGAAAGGTTGGTGGTTCGAGCCCACCCGGGGGCGGGTCTATCTTTTTGCATTTCTT